CAAACTCCTCAGAGCAGGATGACGGTGAGTTCCCAGAGGTGCAGTTGTCATCCCTGGCTTTCCGGGAGTCATGCCTGAGCCACCTAATCCTCTCCCTGCACCGGTCACCTGTCTGGTGCATCCCCAATGCTGCCAGCTTCTTCGCGGTTAGCTGGTACGCCGGGTCACTCCTGGAACTCTTGTTCAAGTTGAAGAGTTTGCTGCGCCTCGCCCCAGCGATTCACCAAAATCTGTCTGTGTCCCCCCCTGTGCCCAGTCAGCAGGGCACTTGGTCGGTGGCCATTGCAAATGCAGAACTCTTGGTGGCGGGTGGGGCCCCCTTTCGGGGAGGCTAGTCTCCGGCTCCGCCCCTTCCCCCCCCCCGCCACAACCAGAGCCCCGAGCCCCCTACCACTTCCGCAGCCAGAGCCCTGAGACTCCTTGCCCCCCCTGCGACCAGAGTCATGAGCCCCCCACCCTCCGCCAGAGGAGCCCTGGGCCAGCTGGAGCCCTGAGCCCCCACCCCTCCCATGGCAAGAGGAGCCCCAGGCCAGCTGGAGCCCCTCCCCTCCCCCAGCTGCACCTCCCCAGACCCCAAGCCGCCCTGCGGGAAAAGCTCTTGTTTTGTCTCTCTTCCAGAAGAAGAACCTGAGCTTTTAATATGAGCCATGCAGGTTCCGGGGTGGCTGAGGAGGTGGTATGTGTCACTCAGCTTCCTGGGTTCAGGGAGATTACTGGTGAACCCAGAAAGCTGAATAGCAGATACCGCCTCCTTGGCCACCCCGGAACCTGCATGGGGCATAATAATAAGCAAAAATGTCCCCCACCCAACCCACAACCGGCGGCTGCGCCACCACCCATGTGCAGAACATTCCCTGTGTTTGCAGCTCAGCAGTCAGAATGAAATGGAAGGGTTAAATGCGGAGCTGCTGTACTTGAACAAGGGGGGGTTGCTTCCATTTCCTGGGAGTTGATTGGCTGCCTTTGGGATAGAGAGGACACAGGACAGTCTGTCTTTTGCTGGGAATAACACAGTGAAGGCAGGGACTTGTTCAGCCTGGAAATACCCTGGTCAGAAGGGAGAGAGACACGTGTCTTCACCCGAGAGAAGCCAGAAGCCTGTGAGAGGGGGCGGGTGGTCCCTTGCTGGACCACTGAGGGGAAATACAGGCCTGGTTTTCCTGAACCATGACACCTTGCTCTGAAGTATGTGGCACTGGCCGGAAACTGAACTAGTGGGACGGTTGGTTTGATCCTATACGCCGATTCCTGCTTTCCTCTGTCACTAGTGTGAAGATCTGTGTGACCTGCTCCAAGCTTCACTCCAAAGTTTGTCCGGCTCCCTGGATTTAGTCAAACAAGCCCAGCACCCAAAGAGCAACAAACCGTCTGATCGGACTGAGGGAATCAGAGTCTAATAACGGTGGCGGGGTGGGGGGACAGCGAGCTTAAAATGAATGAAAGGAAGTAGAATGGCCACATGGTGGCAGAACAGGGTAGAGGACAGCTGGGTTGCTATATTGTGGAGACCAGCATCTATCACTCCATGATAGTTACACATCCCTGAGGTTACAGCTTCACGGATCCACCTAGCTCCAGAAGAGAAACACGCTGGGTAAAATGGATGCAAGACCCCTATGTTCATCCCCGGCGTAACGTCTCTGAAGTTAATGGAATAGCACCAGGAATCCCTGAGGCCTGGTCTGCACCAGAACAGTTACTCTGGTGTAACTAAGGCAGGGAGGAGTGGGACTTTTTTAACCGGTATAGTTATACGGATCCAAGCCTTAGTCGGATGTAGTTGTGCCCATAGAAAAGCAACTTATATTAACATAGCTTATTTAGCTTCCTGAACCAGAATAAACGGCTTATTATACTGTGTATATGGGAGGCACGTGTGTGTGTTGGTACATACGTGGAGGGTGGAGGGGAGGTTGGGTGTGTGTTCATATGGGGGAATGAGTACCGGGTGTGGTGGGGGTACATGTGTGTGTCAGAACATATGTGCATGTGTGCGGGTGTTGGGGTGTGTATGGGTGCAGGTGTGCGTGGGTACAGTTGCGCATGTGGGGATGTCGGGGGTGGCGGGGTGCGTGTCTGGATGGGGTGTGCATGTGTCGGTGTTGGGGTGTGCACCTGGCTACGTGTGTCTGTGTGTGGGTGTCAGGGTGTGTATGGATGGGTAGGAGTGTGTGCGCATATGCATTGGAGTGTATGCATGGGAATGGGTGTATGCACATGGGTATGAGTGTGTGTACATGAGTGTTGGGGTGTGTGCACATGGGTGTCAGGGTATGTGGGGGAGTACAGGTGTGCACGCATGGGTGTTGGATGTGTGTGGGGGGGTGTTGGGGTGTGAGGGGGTACACGTGGGTATGGGTATGTGTTGGGGTGGGGGGGGTACAGGCGTACATGCATGTGTGTTGGTGCGAGTGTACAGGTGTACATGGGTGGGTGTCCACGTGTGGGGGGGTACAGGCATAGATGCGTGTCAGGATGTGTGTGGGGTACAGGTATACATGTATGTGTGTTGGTACAGGCACACATGCGTGGATGTTGGGGTGTGTAAGGGTGCAGTGGGACGCACCTGGGTGTTGGGACGCTTGTAGGTACAAGCATACACACATGGGTTTCAGGATGGGCATAGGTACATGCGTATATAGAATCATAGAATCACAGAACTGGAAGGGACCTCGAGAGGTCATCTAGTCCAGTCCCCTGCACTCATGGCAGGACTAAGTATTAACTAGACCATCCCTGACAGGTGTTTGTCTAACCTGCTCTTAAAAATCCCCAATGATGGAGATTCCACAACCTCCCTAGGAAATTTATTCCAATGCTTAACCACCCTGACAGTTAGGAAGTTTTTCCTAATGTCCAACCTAAACCTCCCTTGCTGCAATTTAAGCCCATTGCTTCTTGTCCTAGCCTCAGAGGTTAAGAACAATTTTTCTCCCTCCTCCTTGTAATTACCTTTTATGTACTTGAAAACTGTTATCATGTCCCATTTTCCAGACTAAACAAACCCAGTTTTTCCAGTCTTCCCTCATAGCTCATGTTTTCTAGACCTTTAATCATTTTTGTTGCTCTTCTTTGGACTTTCTCTAATTTGTCCACATCTTTCCTGAAATGTGGTGCCCAGAACCGGACACAATACTCCAGTTGAGGCCTAATCAGCGCGGAGTAGAGCGGAAGAATTACTTCTTGTGTCTTACTTACAACTCTCCTGCTGGTACATCCCAGAATGATGTTCACTTTTTTTGAAACAGCGTTACACTATTGACTCATATTTAGCTTGTGGTCCACTATGATCCCCCAGATCCCTTTCCGCAGTACTCCTTCCTAGGCAGTCATTTCCCATTTCGTGTGTGTGCAACTGATTGTTCCTTCCTAAGTGGAGTACTTTGCATTTGTCCTTAGTGAATTTCATCCTATTTACTTCAGACTATGTCTCCAGTTTGTCCAGATCATTTTGAATTATAATCCTGTCCTCCAAAGCACTTGCAACCCCTCCCATCTTGGTATCATCTGGAAACTTTATAAGTGCACTCTCTATGCCATTATCTAAAATCATTGATGAAGATATTGAACAGAACCGGACCCAGAAGCAATCCCTGTGGGACCCCACTCGTTATGCCCTTCCAGTATGACTATGAACCATTGATAACTACGCTCCTGGAACGATTTCCCCACCAGTTATGCACCCACCTGATAGTAGCTCCATCAAGGTTGTATTTCCCTAATTTGTTGATGAGAAAGTCATGTGAGACAGTATCAGAAGCCTTACTTTGTATGGAGGTACAGATGTACATATGTGCATGTCATGGTGTGTATATGGGTGCAGGTGCAGATGCACAGGTGTTGGGTGTGCGTAGGTATAGGTGCACACATGGGGTTGTTGGGGTATGCGTAGGTACAGGCATACATGTATGGGTGTTGGCGGGTATGGGGTTATAGGCGTACATGCGTGCATGTCAGGGTGTGTAGGTACAGGCAAACATGCACTGATGGGTTGTGTGTAGGTACAGGCACACATGCCTACATGTCGAGGTGTGCGTAGGTATGGGTGTACATGCACAGATATCAGAGTGTCTGTAAGTACAGGTGCACACGTGTGCTTTTTGGGTGTGTGTAGGTACAGGCATAGACATGCAGATGTCAGGGTGTGCGCGTAGGTACAGGCGCACATGCACGCCTGTCGGATGTACATAGGTACAGGCGCACACACGTGGATGATGGAGGGTGTGGGGGTACAGACATAGACGAGTGCATATTGAGGTGGGTGGGGTACAGGCGTACACACATGGGTGTCGGGGTGTGTGTAGGTACAGACACACACACACACACACGTTGCTTTAATTACAGGTAAAGCAGCCAATCATCCTAGCGAAGACTGGCCCTCGGTGCCACAGTCTGAGCCCCGCCCGCCTGCTCCCGGCCAGGTCCTGCACCCAGCCCAGGGCGGCCCCTGCCCTCCCAGCGGCTGCTACAGCGCCCAGCGCACACCCGCGGGCAGCAGGCGACTCCCTCTCCTAGGGCTCAAGGGCCGGGGGCGGGGCTTGAAGCTCAGAGGCGGTACCCAGAGAGACCAGGAGGCGGAGCTCGGGCTGTGGGCGGGGCCCAGGGAAGGAGGCGGGGCTCAGGGCTCAGGAGGAGGCAGGGTTCGGTGTGGGGGCGGGGCTCAGGGCCCGGGAGGCGGGGCTCGGGCTGGGGGCGGGGCCCAGGGCCCGGGAGGAGGCAGGGTTCGGTGTGGGGGCGGGGCTCAGCGCCCGGGAGGCGGGGCTAGGGCTGGGGGAGGGGCTCAGGGCCCGGGAGGAGGCAGGGTTCGGTGTGGGGGCGGGGCTCAGCGCCCGGGAGGCGGGGCTAGGGCTGGGGGAGGGGCTCAGGGCCCGGGAGGAGGCAGGGTTCGGTGTGGGGGCGGGGCTCAGCGCCCGGGAGGCGGGGCTAGGGCTGGGGGCGGGGCCCGGGGCCCGGGGGCGGGGCTCTGGGAGGGGGCGGGCACTGCTGGGTGCCGCGCGGGGACTCGCCCTGGGAGCCGCCGCCGCTTCCTAGTAAACAGCCGGGCCGCGGGGCCGCGGGAGCCGATGTCCGTCCGCGGCGCGTTCCCGCTCAGCCCCCTGACCCCCGCCCCCGGGGCCGCGCCGCCCCCTTCCGCCCCGGGGCCCGGCCTCATGCGGGGCGCCAGCCCGGCCGCAGCGGGGGCCGCCGGCTACCGGCCCATGGGGCCCGCCGTCGTCCAGTACCAGGTGAGGGCTCCGGGCGGAGGGGGGCGCTGCGGGGTGTGGTTTGGGGGGCTGGGGTTTGGGGGGGGCTGGGTGCGTGGGGGGGCACTGGGGGACGTGGAGGGAGGGGGCTGGGGGGAACTGGGGTGTGTGGTTTGGGGGTGCTGGGGTTTGGGGAGGGCAATGTGGGGGGGCTGGGGGACGTGGGGGCTGGGGTTTGGGGAGGGCAATGTGGGGGGGGCTGGGTGCGTGGGGAGGCCACTGTGGGGGCTGAGGGAGGGCACTGGGGGGAGTCAGGGGCTGGAGGTGGGGGGCTGGTGGAGGGCACTGTGGGGGCCCGGGTGTGTGGAGGGAGGAGCTGCGTGTAGCCCGGGACTGTGTGTGGGGAGGAGGGCACTGGGCAGGGGGCGGCCGTGGGGGAGAGGGGCGACTGTGTGTGTGGGGGGGCACTGGGGGGTGTGGGGAGAGTACTGGGGAGGGACCGGGGGAAGGTGCCATGTGGTGCTGGACAGGAGGAGGAGGAGGGTGGTGGCAGCCCCAGGAAGCCCCCTTTGCTCCCCTGCCATGGATGGGTGAGTTTCCTAGCGCCACACCTGGCTAAACACCATCCTTCCAATTTGCCCCTGTCCCTGCGCACCCCGCAGCCCTCCCCCGGGGAGCCAAGCTCCGGCCCAAGGGAGGAAATGATTTCCAGTCCAGTGCCCTGATGGGGTTGGGCTCTCCACCAGCTGGAGTGCCTCTGCTGACCCGGGCTGCGGCAGTGGCCCAGTGGCAGGGCAGCCTCTCAGGTAACTAGGTCTCACACTGTTCAGTGCAGCAGTCCTTACACCACGGTGGCACCAGGTACACTCCGCTTTACAAAGTGGCCACCTGCCTCGGTTTCCAGGTACTCTCAGAACGTGGCCCCACACAGAGCACGTTGCGCTAGGTTACACCGGGTCACGGCAGCAAAGTCTGCATTCAAAAAAATGTGTCACGCTTGTCATGCCAGGCACAGATGGAAAAACCTGCTCATGGACTCAGTTTCTGCCTGTGCATCCAGCAGCAGCCAGGGTCTAATTAAAACAGAGTGTGCAGCAGTAACCCGGGATCAAGTGGGCAATGGTTACACTACGTTAATTCCAGCTCCTCCGCTCTGGCTCTTATTCCACAACGTAATTTGGAAGAAGCAGGGAAAGGGGCCTAAGATGTCAACTGAAGAAGAATCTGTAACTTTGCTAATTGGGTCCTGAGACTTGGAGGTCTTGCCCTATGGGTGGATTTACCATGGGGCTGGATGTGATCATTCCATTTACTAGTTTAAAAAGAAATGGCTGTAGGAGGCCTACTTATGGACACCCTGTTCTCTAAAGCAGTGGGGGAACTTGGGAGAGGTATATGGCTCCCCCCTCCAGGGACTCATGGGAATGAGCTCATGCTTCGCTTCCTGTTTCTGAATTCGGCTGAGATCCTTTTCAGATGGCTCGGGGTGGGGTGTCTCCTGGTAGGAGCTGTCACTTGGGGGGTTGTTTTGTTTTGGAGAGGATGAAATGGAGATGGTCGTTTCTACTTGAAAGGTAACCAGATTATATTGACCAGAAGCTTGGTTCGCTTTTATGGTGCCTAAAACAGCATTGTGTATGTTTGGGGGAAGGGGTTTGTGCATGAGAATCATTAGAAAATAACAGGACAGGAGACAGACCCCAATCAATTCGGTTCTTTGCTGTTTTGGTGCCCCGACCGGGTTCTCTGTACAAGAGTCTGGTAACTGGACTCTTTTAGGGTATGTGCACTGCAGCTGGGAGCATGGCCTTCCAGCCTGGGTAGACAGACACACGCTGCTGACAATAGCCGAGGCCCAGGTGACGGTATGGGCTAGCCACTCCAGTGCAGACCCAGGGAGTTGGACAAGCTTGTACTCGGGTGGCTAGCCTATGGTGCAGCATCCACACTATCTATGTACCCGGGCTGGGAGGCACACTTCCAGCTGCAGTGTAGACATATGCTCTGAGGCTGTTCTGTGGAGGTGATAAAGCTGCTTGACAGAGGGGTGGGGTGGAGAATGGAGTTGCTTTTCTTGGGTCTTGTAGGGGAATGTGTGCATAATATCTATGGGTAGCTGTAGTACTCAATAGGAATGTGCTAGAATCCAGCCAACATCTCTCTTCTTCTCCCCCCCTCCCCCCCCCAAAAAACCCCAACCAACAACAACAAAAAACCAATTGCATCAAACAGCCCTTTTCGCTTTCCCAGGTGCTGAGAGGAGGTAACATTTGTGGGCTTGATTTGGCTACTTGGCAGCCCACTTGCTGCTTCACCTCTTCTGAGGTGGTGAACTGGATCATGGATGTGCAGTAGGCCAGCAAGAAGCCCCTCTGTGCGCAGCTTTGGATGTTAGAACCTGCTTTAGAAAATGTTGGCCTGAATTGCTTGGCTAAGGTTGGATGGCAAGCCAGTGGGAGAACTGGGAACAGAATCCTGATTCCCTTCCCTGTGTCTTAGTACAAGACTCTTCTTCCCCATACAGTTTCCAAAAAGTGCTATGGGATCTCTAACACATACCAGACTTGGTTCTTGGATTAACATCTCCTCCTTAGGATGGCAACTGTCACAGTGCAGGGTGATATCACAGGCATATTGTCAACTGAGAATTTTATTCCATTGAAATCTAGCATGTGATCAGTATGTTAAAGAAACTTTGTCCAGATGCTGCTGCAGATTGTCCCCTATGCAGCCTCTGTTTATGCCTTCTTTTCCCTGGTTCTCCATGGCTTTTAGCCACTTAAAGTCCATGAAAAACGGTTAGCGGATGAACGCTGACTCACTTGTGGTGTTGCTGTGCAAACGCTCTCTGTGTCAGCAGCATAGGATGTTGTAAACAGCCAGCAGGAACTGCTGCACATGAATCCATGTCAGGGGCAGCCCTGAGATTCACCTGGGGTTTGTGGGACGGTCATTCTGTTTGTGTGAAAGCCAAACCGTTCTGCAGACAGCTAAGTGTGAACCTCAGGCGACGATGGTGTTTTCTACTGAAGCTTCTCCAGTTCCCCTGTTTTCCGTTTCCCCTTTAGCAGAGCTCTCATGTAAGTCAATATTTATGCGCATGTTTTGCAGATATAACAGCTATGCCCAAATTTTAGATTTCCACATATAGTTTACCTGAAGAAAGTTGGACAGATAGTGGAAAATAATGGAGGGGGAGGGAGAAGGTTCCTGCTTACCAGAAACTTCTATGCTCAAACTCTGTTCACTATTTTTTTTTTTTAACATCATCTTAATAAAATTTTTAAATCTGAAGCAGGGGATGGACACTGGTCTCTGGAGTGGAGCTGGCCAGCGAGCCGAGCTAGGGAAGTTTGGGAGTCAGTGAAACAATTCTGTCTGTTGTCTAAAGCGTTCTTTGTGAGGAGTGTAATATTATAACTGTCACTCAAACTCTCTGCCCTCAGCGTGCAAAGCTGGTCATGCTGGTGCAATTCGCTCTGAGCAGGCTGAAGGGTTGGGTAAAGGCTCTCTGCCAGAGTTTAGGAGACCTGATTGTTCTACAGTCTCCAACTAGCCCATCTTCCACCCCTCTGCTAGTCTCCACCTCCAGGTCACCAGCCCACCCCCATTTATATCCACGAATTAAAAAACAACACATCCCCCAGCCTAGGAAATTTCCACATTGAAAACATCATTAACACAGAGTTAAGGCTGTTCAAGTTATTCCCTCGAACACCAAAAAGCGAGGAAATCTCAAATCAAGGTAATATACAAAACTCTGAGCATTAACCCACTAGGGTCCCAACTCTTGACCACGCTAATATGCTGTCACATGGGCTTTCCTTTCAACGGTATCACCCGCAATGCACCAATCCTAGCATCTTTGCATACTGTACAACTTCTGTGTTCTGTCTGTCTGGTGTAGAGTACACCTCTACCCCGCTATAACACGAATTCGGATATAACGCGGTAAAGCCGTGCTCCGGGGGGGGGCTGCACACTCCAGTGGATCAAAGCAAGTTCGATATAATGCGGTTTCACCTATAACGCGGTAAGGTTTTTTGGCTCCCGAGGACAGCGTTATATCGAGGTAGAGGTGTATGTGGAGATGCTAAGATGGTGTCATTAAACTAGTCAATAAAGACCCACATCTGAAATTTGTGGAAGGTGCCATAGGGCAGGACAGAGGTATGCTGACAAGGGTTTGTTGAGATTTAGAGCTGGGGTAACAAGGGGTGCTGTGGGTCACGATTGGGATGCATTAATAGCGACTACATACTTGTCTCCACACTGGCTGGCTGTAGAGAGTAGTATCAGCCCTTCACTTTCATGGCTGTTCCTCACTGGAGCCTCACAGCACTAGATCAGAGGGGGGTGCTGCCGTCTGTTCTGTGCATCTGGAGAACGCTGGCGTAGGCCTCATGGCCACATTAGATGCAGACCTGGTGTGCCTTGGTTTAGTTGGGGACTTACTCCACAGTTCAGGCTCTGAGGGACACAGTAACCATCAGTGACTTGGGTCTGTGCCGGGGAGTACTCAGGGGCTCTTTAATTGGTGGATTATTAACATGATACGTTAATCCTTCTACATCCTCGTGTATCACTTGGCTGTTTCATTAACAGCTCGAGCAGGGAGTTTAAGCAGGTGGCTCGTCTCGGCGTCAGGGGGTTTTGTCTCTGTTAATCCCCCCATGAATTAGTGGCACCAAGTCTTCTAACTTAGTGGTTAGTTACTGGTGTTCCCAGAATAGCCAGACCCTTGTCCTTTGCATGGCGCCCAGCAGTCGAGTTTAGACAACAAAGGGGGGTTGAGTAAGAGGATCAGAAAATGGACGATTATTCAAGCTTTGCCAAGGTGCTTGGCACAGTACAGAATGAGGAGACCCGGTCAGTGCCTCCCACGAGCTTGCCAGCTAATTCTGACACATGGGTGTCCAGAGGAGTTGGAGGCAGTGCAGGGCCCTGGCAGAGGTCACTGCTGAAGGGCTTAGCAGAAGGGCTTTTGAGGGAAGGGTTTGAGCAGTGGTGCTGGGGACTGTTCGATCATGAGGAGAACTGCA